TTAAGACACACTCAAGAGCTGCGGGTGTGATCAGGAGGGCCACCAGTACTAACACCTACTATCGATTTTCTTCACAGGAAAGATTTAGAATCAATTATAAACATATAATAAATTGATTCCTAGGGAAACATGCTTGGATGTAATCTTTGCAGGCCCCCCCTCAGCTCCTTGGGTCTGCTCTCAGCCCACCTTTCCCCTCAATCCCAAACCTTAGCACTTCACCCCTCACCGTAAGTTTGTTTTGCTTTTCTCAAGTGGAGAAAAGCTCCCCAAACTGGCAGGAAACCATGTTCTACAGAAGCATTTGAGCATATGCATTTCAGGCAGAGGCACCCCCAGCCTTCTGATTTGTGTATTTCACTCTGACTAAGCCCCATGGACCTACACTCCCCCTCAGGCAGTCTAATGAGTTAGGCCATGAGACCTGCCAAGCAAGACCCTGGGCAGGCACAGATGGGTAGGCCAGACCAAATGCACCCAAATCCAACTGCAGAACCACCAAGGCAGGACCTTTCACTCAGGAAAAGTTTTATGTGGTTTTGGGGCGCATTTGAACAGGAATCTCTAAAGAGTTTTGGTTACTCCGGCTATTATATCACATGCACCTCATCTTTCCGTTTGGTGATAGAACCTCTACGCGCAGCCAGGAAAGCGGGGAACATTTCATTAACGTGGCTTCCTCTTCATTGCCAGCCTAGCTACTTATGTAAAGCTGATGTTGCTAATGTCAAATTCTAGCCAGAAAGCACCAGGCTAGAAGATAGACTCCTTGACTCACAAGGTGTGGTGTAGTTTGGCCCTTCCTGAGGCTCACTCCCTCCTCACTGCAGCAAACCCCTCTATGGGGTAGGACAGTGGCAGCCTTCAAGACCCGGCCTCTGTGGGAAAACTCAGAGGAAGCCCACCCTTCCTCCCTTTTCCTGAATCCTCCATCCTCTTTCTTGGTTTGTATGAAAGGACAGAGGTTTCTCTGACCCCGGACCAAACTGCAGGAATTAGGTAAGTGTGTGATTGAGTAAGCAGGATCTCCCACCCACCTCACCCTCTGCAAAGCATCTTCACACGCAGCATCCCCTATAGTCCGCCACTCGCCAGGCCTCCCAAGGAGACACTGTCAGCTTCCTTCAACAGACAGGACACAGAAGCGCAAAGAATGAATTTGGGTTACCCCAAGATCTCCCAGCAAGGGGGGGTGGAGCCAGGATTCCTCCCAGCATTCTGTTTCCAAGTGGTCGTCCTCCCCCTACAATTCCAAGAAGAATGGGGGCATGTTTCAGGCAGCCGTGTGGGCTAATATGGGACCTGGCTTGCCACCAACAGGTGAAGACATTCCACTGAATGCCACCGTCACTAAGTCCCTACTTCCGTGCAAGGTACGTACCAAGAGTGGGGAGGGCAACAGATATGGCTTCCCTGGCCTCTGGCTCAGGGAGGGAGAAAAAGCTTTCCAAACTGGCAGAAAACCAGATCCTACCAAGGGCAGGCCCAGAGCATGGGCAGTGCTCCAGAAGGACAGGGCCAGTTCTCCAAGGACCCGATAAAAGGCATGTTGGCTCTCTAATTGGACACCATGGTATCTCGAGACCACTAAGGCCTTTAGAAACTATCTGTGTTTTGTTCTGCTGGCAGTAGAAGTGGCTAGATCCTTGTAGAGGCTCCAGTAAGGTAAGCAGCTCTTCTCCCCGAGAACTTGACATCCAGCCCCAGTGTGAGCTCTGCTAAGAGATCATGATTCTAGTGTCCACTTTGACAATAGCCTCCAGCAAGTCCTTCTCCATCTTCAGTTTCCTCATCTGAAGCCAAGCCACAGGGCTTCTCAAAGAAGGTTCCTAACATCTCTAACCTGGGGCTCTAAAAGAAGTGTGAGGGAGGCTGGCTACAAAGAACCCCCTGCAGACTTCTGAGGACACTTGGAGAATGAGTTTCACCCAAGAGAAGTGCACATTTCTTTCTGAAATAATTTGATAGTGGGATGAGGCACACAGACCCTGAAGCTGGCTGACTGGGTTCAAATCTAACCCTGATCTGCCAACGAATAGCTATGTGGCCTTGGGTCACTTTACACAATCTCTCTGTGCCTCAGTTTCCTCATCTCTAAATCAGGGGTCCTGGTGAGGATTAACTGGCACAGGCTAGCTATCAATATGATTTCCCCAGACTCCTGGACACAGCTTTGTCCCTTCCCAGTCCTCTTGGTTTTTGCCATTTCTGTCCCTGTTCCACTGCCAGGATTTCAGCCTTCCCTGGATCCAGTATCTGGTCAGGAATGGGATAAAGAAGGGCAGGCACTGGTGTCTTGCCTGCTTGATGGGTGTCTTGCCTGCTTGATGGGTACCTTGCCTGAAGAAGCTTTTTGCCTCAGTCTGTTACTTATTTTCTGATATGGAGAGAAACTGAGTCCGTCTCTGTCTCTGTTCTTAATAATACCCCCAAGTGGAGATAGCTGTGTGAAAACGTGCCCTTGGCTTTCAGGGGTGAGAGAGTGAGGGAGACCAAGCTGACCAGTCCCACTCATGAGGGATCCTGTCAGAGGCAGGTACAGCACAAAATTTCTGATGTTTTCCTTACACACACACACACACACACACACACACACACACACACACACACACATTAGCCGGCGCGAGTCAGCTCCCTGAGGGCAGGGGCTTTTCTGTTTTGTTCTCGGCTCTAACCTCAGTGCCTAAAACAACGTCTGGCACAGAATAAACATTGAATAAATAAATATAAATTCTACTAAAGGAGGGAGAAACATTCCACTGACTAGATGTATTATACTTGCGTAGCAGGGTCTAGTCTTAAGTTATTTTCCTTATCAATAGGTAATAGTCAGAGTTTATGGCCAAGAAAGTAAAAAAGAACGTGCTTCAGATTTCTCTCCTTAAGACTTGGCCTCTAATTCTCTCAATTAACAACAGGGCCTGTCTTTCAACCCTCCCCCCACCCACACACTAACCTCCCTAAGTGCTGAGAGCCCAGGAGGGACAAGGTTTCAAGGGTCTGTATTTAAGACACTGGGGGTCCAGGTGACCTCCTGGGAGTCTGAATATGTAGAGAATGAAGCTGCTGTTGTTCCACAGTCCTGGCACCCCTCGGCTGCTTGGTTAAAGCACTTGGAGATGTATCGGTGTTTTTTTCATACTGAGTGTGCAGGGGCATTGTTTTCTGAAAATGCATAGTGACAACACAGTGTCATTAGAGATGATTATTGTTAATAATAATGGCTGTCATTCAAGGACACATTTGTGACTCAGACCCCAGGGCCAAACCTAGCATCTTCTTTCATCCTCACAACAAGTCCTAGAGACAGATCAATTTGCAAATCCATTTTACAGATGAGGATATGGAGAGTTGACGCAAGTCACATGGTTTGTAAAGGAGAGCGCCAGAATTTGAATGCAAGACTCCAAAGGAAGCTGTTCACTGCCCCTCCCCAACCCCCGTCACCCCCAACCCCTGACTTCTTTCTGTCTCTGAGTGATAAGGAAAGCAAGGAAATCCACATGAAATGAAATGTGACTTGGGAGAGGAGGCATGTAGCCACTACCTTAGAAGCAAAGCTAGAAAGTCAGTAGTATAGTCAAGCATACTGAGTCTAACTCTTCCTGCTAAGTATAAAGCCTATTGGACCTTTTTCTGGCTGTGAGACTGAAGGCAAGTAACTTAACCTCTTCACACCTGTTTCCTCTTCTATAAAAGGGAGCCATATTCTTTAGTTGGGAGGTCTAAATGAATTAATATATAAATAAATTATTGTTCTCTCAGTCTACTGCAGAGTAGTGTTTATACCATCCCCTGCCAACTGTGGCTGCTTTAAATGTCCTCATTTTACCCTTCCGAGTTAGGGAACCTAGAGGAGAAAAACACTGGTTTGTCCAAGAGCTCAGGCCAGAAGTGCCCATGAGGAAGAGGAAGAGTCTAGAGCAGCCTTTACAGATGGTTTTGCAGATGGTTTTGCAAAAAACGTTTTGGTTTCCCTTTTTAAAAAAGATGTAAACACCTTCCCAGGCTCCTCTGACATCAGCGTGTCAGTGATGAATCATCGGGAATCTAAACGCACGCACTGGGTAGGTCAGTCTCCATTTTTAGTCAAGTTCCCAGTGGCTCCACTGAGGCCTCGCAGGAGGGTCCCAAGTCACATGCACTTCGTGAAACCTTAGCTCCTCTAAGCCCTCTGGGCACCCCGTCAGATGAAGAGCAGAGCTGCAAAGAGGCTGAGGCGCTCCCTTCCGGCATTTCTCCTTCTTTTCTAAAATTTAAAGCAATCTGCATAGAATTTTTCTCCTTTCTTTTTTTAACAGGACACACAGAACCAACGTTTTCAGGCTGGTTCTTGCTTGCGAGTGAGAGACTTCATATGTGATGGAACAGAGGAGAGGAGCCCCGGGAGCTGTTACATTTAAATCAATATCTAAAAACAAATTTGACCATCTCAATGTTTGTTAGATTTATGTGTACGTATGATTTTTTAATTCATCCAGAAATGACTTCATTTGTTGAGTATTTACTAAGTACTCAGATGTGCAGCCGACCCTCTGCTGAAGGTGTCAAGAGAGGGAGAGATGTGGGGAAAATCTGGGTAGGCCTCCTGGAGGAGGAAGCACTGGCCAAAGTTCTGCCAGTTGGAGTTGGGAAGGAGTGTACTCTTGCAGGCTGGTACTTCAGCATGAGTAAAACCCCAGAGGTGAGAAATCTTAGCACTATGCAGAGAAGAGGGGAAGCAGTACAGCTGCAGGGAAAAGGCCTTCTTTCTCTTTCTAATTTGCTGCTTCTAACTTGCTGTGAATTTAGAAGGCAAATATCGTGGATGTTAGAACTGTGTGTAAAGGTCGAGTACATGAATGGCCTCAGAGCAAGCACCTGAGAGTGAACAGCAGTAAGAGGGGACAAGGCTTGGGCGACTCAGAAGCCTCCTGTGCCCTTTCAGCTTGGCAGAGCACGGGGGAGGGGGTGGCTGGTGAGGTATAAGCTAGGTGCACGCTAGCACCTGTCACTGCACGGAATCCAGGAACTAGGCCTGCAGGGACAGCAAGAGTTCCCCCTACACACAAATAACCCGTATGGGCTCTGCACTGCCAGTAAGTCACAGCCCAGCCCAGCCCAGCCCACCCCAGCAACCACCATTTGGCCCAGAACCTTATTTTAGGCTCTGGGAATGGGCTGGGGGAGTGGAGTGGGCACAGCGGAGCCACCCACACCTCCGGCTCTTCAGGAGGGGCCCCAGGGCCTGGGGAGCTAGAGTCTAACTAGGGTCCCCTCCAGCCAAAATCTCAGAGGAGTCAAGGAAGCGCTAGAGCCAGAAACACGGAAGCGGAGTCGAGGCTAGCCGAGGAGAGATGGGTGAACCACACGCGGTTGGGAAAGGCCGGCGATCTTACCGGGCCTCAGCTGGGCGTCCTGGCCCTCCTTACCCACCGCCCAGGCCTGGGACTCCCCTCCCCGAGCCCTGGAGCGATAGTGCAGCCCCAACCCCGCCGGAGGCCGAGCTCACCATCCTTCAACTGGCTCCTGGAGCCACAAGGTCCCGGGCCGGGGGCGGGGCACAGGGGTGCGGGTGAACCCCGCCCAGGCTCTTACCTCCGCGCGGGCATCCGTCCGGCCAGCACAGTTTGCCGCTGGGACTGCGGGGCTGGGGAGGCTCCCACGGGCTCGTATCGCGCCTCTCCGCCCCCAGTACCCCGCGCCCCGAGCCCCTAGACCCTTCGGTGGCCCCGAGCGGGGACGCCGGGATCGGGAACAGGCGCCGCGCCGGCGGAAGGAGGCGGCTCCTGAGGGGCGCGGTGGGGCGGGGCGGGGGTCTCTGCTGGGCCCCGCCCGGGAGGGGACGTGGGAGCGAAGATCCCGGAGAACAAAGGCTTCTGGGTGAAGCTTCGCGACCCCCTCCCCCCCCGCCGCCGGGCCTGGCCCTGAACTTGAACTTGTACTTGACGCTTCGTCCGGAAGGTGGCGGGGAAGCCCCTCCGAGCTGGGACGGGGCTGGTGCCGCCACCTGCCGTCCTGGGAGGGGCGAGCCCGCCCCTGTCTGAGCCCCGAGGGACCCCGGCATCCTAGGGCCCCGCGCGCTCCAAACAGCCCTGGCTCGAGGGTCCTGAGGTCCCCGCGTTCCCTCGGAGGGTCGCGGTCCTGGGTCTCCGGCCCGGAGGAGTAGCCCGGGGCCCTCGCCGCGTCCCCTCCCTCGGCCCCACCCTGTCCTGAGCCTTGCTGCGCGGGGCAGGCCAGATTCTCTGCACGTCGCGTCGGCAGCCGCTATTCAGCGGCTAATTGAACGTTAATGGCAGGTGCGGATGAGGTCACCGGAGCTGGCTTTTCTCACACATTTTTCATGCAAATTCGCGAAACTCTAAACAAATTTGAATAAAAAGCTCTTTGTGCCCCGCGCCCCCTAGTCGTCTCCCTCCCGCTCGGGGTCCTGGCTCCTCCCGGTGCCCTGGGGCTCGAACTAGGAGCCCCGGGGAGCGCCGCCTCCCGGCCAGCGGCTCCGCCCCCTCCCCCAAGTGGCCAAAGGCGGCCTGGGCTGCCGGGTGAGAGGGAAAGATGTTTCATTTGGGGTCGTGGGTCTGGGCCAGGGTGGTGGGGCCTTTAGGGAGGACGTGTGTGCAGTTAAGCCGGGCATCTGGACAAATGGGGCTGCAATGCCCCCTCCCCCACATCACACGGGGCCACGTGGGCCACTCTGGATGGCCAAATTGGCCTCACTCTCGTTCTTGGTTAAGTAGGAATAAGGTTAGTGCCCAGTTATGCACACAGATGTGAGGATTAAGCCACAACGAAAGACACAAGCTAGCACTTAGAATAGTGCCTGGCACAGTAGGTCTCGATTATTCTCTGGGGTCCAAAGGCCTTCCGAGAATGAATGCTGTGATGAAAGCAGGCTTGTGAATTTGCTCCTACATGAAAAAACTCATTAGGGGCTTTCAAGAGATTCACCGCCCCCTGCATCCCATTCTGGTCACAGACCTGAGATCTGGAGGCTCACTCCACTGCTTCCCAGATGTGTGGCTTTGCCTATTTCTTAGTGTTTCTAAGCCTCTGTTTCCTAGTCTATAAGATAGAATTCAGTCTTATGGGCACATTGTGAGAAGTAAATGAGAAGACACTGATGGAGGTTGAGGAGGAGCCTGGGGGCTGGCCCCCAATCCAGAACCTCCAGGACCCCTCTTCTGAGGGCAGGGCACCCACAAGTTTGTCCTTGCACTGGCCATGACCTTCATCGCTTGCTCAGATGACCCTAGCTCAGGGCAAGACAGACTTTCCAAGCCTTGTAAGACTTCTTGCTCCAACCTTTCCACCCATTCCAGGGTCCCCACCACACCTCAAGACACAGGAGTTGTTTTTGCTGATGGCAAAACACTCATACTACTTTCCTCACTCATGTCCTCCTAGAAAAACTGACCAGAGACATGGAAGGCTTTGCAAAGAAAATTTATTCGTGGTAAGCTACAAGAAAGGCAGGGGGTTCACAGGAAAGGAAGAGACCCCTCCCAGAGCTTGCCCTAGTACTGGTGGACCTGTGGGCTGTGGAAGGGTCCTGATGATTCAAGCTGCCTGAGTGCCATCTCTGCTCTCCTACTTCTGCTTCTCCACCCTCAGCCTTCCCAGAGCCCTGAACCAGGCCAGCCTCTGGGAAACACTGGAGCAGACCTCGGGAGCATCCTCGTCTTCCTGCCAAGGACCCCAAGGAACAGCCAATCCTACAGGAATGCAGATGGCCAGCAGCCACGCACTCCTTCTGTATGAGGCTCTGTAAACCTGTAAAGCCCTCCTCTCACCCCACTGTCTAGGTCAGGGCTGGGCACAACCCAGGGGATGCCATTGCATGGAAGTGGGGGAGAAGTCCAGCTAAAATACTATTTGAGGCGACCCTGCAGGGGAGGGGTTAATGTTTCCATATGTGGGCGCTGGCAAGCAGAGTCTGCAGCTTCAGGGATCTGCTGCTAAGTGGCCAAACCAAACAGGATCTCTTTGGGGCCAGAGTACAGATTTTAGAGTCAAAGAGACTTGGTTTTTATCTCAGTTCTGGCACTGACTTAGCTGTGGGACTTAGGACATGTAACTTAACTTTTCTGGGCCTGTGTCTTCGCCTGTAAAATGGGTGCACCAATGACACCCACACCCCATAAAATTATGAGGAGTCACTGCAGTAAAGCTGTAACCTGGCACCTGACTGCCTTTGTACTTGGTCACTGTTAATGCTTTTTTCTCCCCAGTCCACTGGCCCCACAGCCAATCTGAAGTGGCTGTAGCTGTGCCCAGGCCTCAGGGACCAGGTTTCTCAGGCCCCTCTGGACAGCCCCATTTTGCCTCTTGACCTGCCCCCTGCCCCCGTTGCCTCCCAGGCCACTGAGGCCCAACTGAGAGCACTGCAGGCTGCTGCAGCCCCCGACCTAAGGCAGGTGTAGCCTGATCCAGTGCTCCCTGGGAGGGTAGGGTGCAGCATTACCTCCCAGAGACATGTTCTGAGCCATTTACTCTTTCAGGGAGGAAGTAGGGGTGGGCACCCCCACCTCTTCTGCTCTGTGACGTCTTTCTCTCCGGACACGTGCTGCTTATGCAAATAGGGCCATTCCCGGCCTGGCCCCCACGCCCTAGCAGGGTGATACTTTTGGGCTGTGGCCAGATGGGGGCACTCCCCAGTTCACATGTCCAACACCTGGCATGACTCCAGGGTCTCCAAAGGCCTCCTCCCCCAAACAAGCAGGTCCCTCAGGGCAGAGGGGGAACGTCTGCCAGGAAGGAAACCGGGAGCCAAGGCCTACCCACCACCCACCACCCACCTCCCCTGTCCCTAGCCAAGCTCCTGACTCTGCCTCTCACTTGCAGAGGAGCTGCAACAAACCCATCAACCTCTTTCGATTCGGTGAAACTGGAATAATGACACCCACGTAAGCAAGATCCAGAGACAGTAAGCCTGGCACTTAGTAGGCTTTCGATTAACACTAGCAGCCATGATGGCATGTAATTATTAGGCCCCAAAATGGCCCATGGCTGAAGCCACCAGTGACTGTGGGATACTTTCTCCTGCAACACCACCACCACCGTCTTGAACCCACACCAAGTTAGTTGACAGAAGTTAAGCCTATTACATTGAACAACTCCTTTATATTTTTTAATAAAAGTATCTTAGGAGCACAAAAACATAACAGTATAGAAGAGTGCATTCCCCCATCTCCACTCCCCAAAGATAGCCTTCCAGTACATACTTCCAGAAACAATCCATATATAAGCATACTTAACTTTTAAACATCTACAAATAAGATCATACTCCACGGCCTGTTCTGTAATTTATTCTATTCGTCTTATCATGTGAACGGGCCAACCTTCCACATCAACTCATATATGGAGATCTACCACACTGATTTTTACAGCTGCATGGTATTCCACAGTACCAATAGGCCATAGGTTCCTGTCCATTTCTTTACACTCTTAAAAATAAATGCTCTGGCTGGGTGTGGTGGCTCACACCTGTAATCCCAGCACTTTGGGAAGCCAAGGCAGGTGGATCACCTGAGGCCAGGAGTTCAAGACCAGCCTGATCAACATGGAGAAATCGTCTCTACTAAAAACACAAAATTAGCCAAGCGTATTGGTGCATGCCTGTAAGCTCAGCTACTCAGGAGGCTGAGGCAGGAGAATCACTTGAACTCGGCAGGCAGAGGTTGCAGTGAGCTGAGATCATGCCACTGCACTCTAGCCTGGGCAACAAGAGCGAAACTCATCTCAAAACAAAAACAAAAAAAGAAATGCTCCTCTGATGAACACCCTTGTACATAGTTCTTTTACAAATATGCCCACAGAGTAAATAGTGCCATTTGTTTGTGACCAAGTACATGTGCCTTTTACATATACATATTGATATTGCCGCATTTGAAAAAATAGTGTACAATTTACACTCCCCAACCGACAACCGACAGTGCTTGAGTCTTCAAACAGGCATATGATGCTGCAGAAGCCACACTGGCCAGCCGGTCAGTACGGGCCACAGAGGCAACCATGGAGCCAACCTAGACTGGCACTGGACCAGCACGCTGTCCTCAGGGTGGTTCCCAGTGGTCTCTCCCTGTCCAGGCCTGTATCAACTGGCGGTCCAAGGGTGCCCCGAGTCAAAAGGGAGTGGGGCCCACAGGGGGGCTGGGTGGAGGGCAGGGGGCATGGCTGGGGTCCCGCCTGATTTCCTGCAGCCATTGTCTCTGCCCTGCCTGGTTTCCTTGGGGTGAATTTATCCAGGGGTCTTTGGAGAGGGGGCTAGGCAGGAGGAGGGTGTGTGATCCTCACCAAAGGCACTCAGCAATGTGTCACAGGAGGGGTGGAGCCCATCCCTGGGAGAGACGGGACGTCAAGAACCCCTGACTAATGAATAGTGAGTCTGCCCTTGAATCTCACTGGGTTTCACCATTCTCAGGCCCAGAACAAGAGCTGAGACACGTCTGAGCCCAGCTGCTTGGGGACGGCGGCGGTTCATCTCAGACACTTTGACAGGCCGGGCCTTTTCCCTGCATAGCTCAGATCTGCCTCCCAGCTCCCCTGGCAACAGCACAGCAGCATGGCTCCTGGGTCCAGGCCCTGCCTGCTGTGAGCAGGAGGAGGGAAGAAGAGGAGCACCAAGGGGAGGACCGGCTGGGGAGAGGGAGCCATTAACTCCTCGAAGGCTGGAGTCCCTTGCTGTGGCAACATTGCCAGTGTGCTACCCTTCGTCCTCAGCTGGAAACGTGGTGAAGAGTTTCCGTTTGCTGGAGGCCTACCCAGAATGTTCCATGCACCTCAGACCCAAACAGACCTGGCTACGGGTGACAACAACAGACATGGAAAGAAGATGCTAGGCCAATGGGCCAAAGGTAAAGGCCCTAGAGGGATGGGTTGGGGTACATTTTCCCAGGTCCCCTGCCAAGTCCCAGATGGGCAGGATTACGGGGTCCTCCTCCTCCTGGCCCCTGGCTGTGACAACCTCAGGACAGAGGTTACTTGCCCTCCCTTCCTGCTGGGCTTTTTTCCTTCTGGGGCTCTTGCATGTCCTGGGCTGGCTTGGCTCTGTCCTTGGCGAGAGCCACATTCCTCTGTCTCCATTTCATAAAAGCTGAAAAGAGGCTGTCCGATCATACTTCACTTCACAGGACAATCTAAAGATAAGAGAAATAATATGTGAGAAGCTTTGCACTCTGGGGAGGAAGGTGTCCTATAAATCTCATTCAGGTATTATTAGGGCTGAAACTAGGTATTTCTGCCCCCTGGGGAAGGAGAGGCGATGGGCTGTGGGGAGGAGCTCCTCCAAGGTTGTCTCAGCACCTCCCCAGCAGGGCAGTCCTGAAACTCAAAGGCAAGAGGTCAGGAAAGTCAAGGGTTTATGCCTGTGGCCTTTGAGGCCTGTGGGTACAGCTCCAAGTAAGAGGTAAGAGAGAATATCATTGCAAGGTACTTCATCTGTATTATTTCTATGCCTCACTGCAACTTTATGAGAAAGGTGTGGTTTTCTTTGTTAGAAATAAGGGAATAGAGGGTCAAAGAAGCTAGGGAGCTGGCCCATGGCCACGCCAGTCATATGCGGTGCTGAGCCAACATCCATGTCAGCTGTTCCAGTGGCAGAGCTGCCTAGCTGGGGTGCTGCGGAGAGGGGTCAGCACCAAAAAACAGTGTTTCCCCCATGGTTGCTTCTCAGGGATTAGAGCTTTTGAGTCTAAAGGTTCTGGTCCAAGGAAGTGGAATGGGGCAAGTCCCAAGGACAGCACTGCAAACCCACCTTGAGGGCCACCTGGGCAAACAGAGCCACCAAGGCAAACAGCATTCAGAGCAAACGGAAGTGAATGGAAGGACAAAGGCATCCAGACGAGAGGCTGGGAGCGCCCCTAGGTGAGACTCATGCTCTCTGTCCAAGTCTTGCTCCAGGACAGGTCACCTCCCTGCCCCATGGCCATGCCAGCAGTGAGCTGGGTTTTCATTTTTGTAGCCTCTAGTTGATGGTGCCTCCTTGCACCCAGGCCAGCTTGAAAGGGACAAAGCTAGCTGGGTTTCCTGTGAGCCAGGGGGCTGGGAGCAGGGGTTACTGGCAGGTAACAGTAGAAAAAGCAGGAAGAACTCCCACAGGGCAAAATGCAGGGGCCAAAAGGGACCTCAGCCACCATCTTATCCAGTGCTCCTTTTCTTTTTTCTCCCTTTCTCTTTCCTTTTTAAGAGATAGCATCTTGCTCTGTCATCCAAGCTAGAGTGCAGTGGTGCGATCACTGCAGCTTGGAACTCATGGGCTCAAGCGGTCTTCCTGCCTCAGCCTCTCAGGTAGCTAGAACTATGGGTGCACTTCACCACACGTGGCTGTTTTCATTTTTTAAGAATAGGGTCTCACTATGTTGCTCAGGCTCTTCTCAAACTCTTGGCCTCAAGACAACTCCTACCTCAGTCTCCCCAGTTATTGGGATTACATGTGTGAGCCACTGCACCTGGCTCAATGCTACTTTTCTAGGTCCAGTAAAGGAGGTGGCTTGCCCAAGACCACTCTGGGAAAGTGGGCTAGAGTCCAATCTCTGAGTTCCAGCTAGGTAAGGTAGTGTCTTCCTGTGCCCTTGTGACTTTACCAGACCACCTTAGGCCCTCAAAGCCAGTAGTTTCATCCAACAAGGCAAAGAAAAAAGCAAGGTAAAAGAAGTCAGCATTGGCCAAGTACACCACGTATCCAGGTGTGGCCTCGGAAAACCTGGGGCTGGGGGAAGACGCTGCCTGCCTTGAGGCCAGAATCTTTCCTCGATGACAGAACACGGCTCTGTACTTCCCCAACACCACACTCCCATACTCCACAGTCAGATAACAGAAACCATGAACCTCCCCTGGCTGATGAAGAAACAGGCAGGAGGAATTAGATCAGAGCACAGACAGACCCCATAATCCTGACCCCCAGTGCTTCTGAGAAGGGACAGGAAGGAGGGGCAGCTCTAGGGTACATGAGCGTGATGAGAGCCCACAGAAGCAGCTCTTCCCCAGAGCATGGTGGCAGGTCTGCTGCCAGCTTTGGGCAGGAGCCGGAAGGCCCTCAGTTCACTGCCCTCTGCCTCTAGGTCCTCTTCCAGGTCAGGCAGGGTGCCCCACACCAGGCAGGCCTGACTTGCTTGAACACAAAGGAAATCTCAGGATCCTGCATCCTGCGACCTCCTCAGATGTCCTCAAGGGATGTCTGTATGCTGGCTGATAAACGGACTCATGATAGGGCAGAAAGACAGAGGGACAAGGTATGCGCAGCTGTGCCCTCCTCCCTGGGTGGTTTGGGCCAGCTGTCACTCTGCCTGGTTGGTGTCCAGCCTGTACAGGTGGTTAAATATTCTGAATATCACCATTGTCCCCACCCCCCAAATCTCAGCTATCTTAAATGATCCTAGAGGCTTAACTTCTTCCTATCTGCCCCATATAGAAGGAAAATGAGAAGAAAAATTAACCCCATGAAACGCTTTCCATGTGCCCAAGAGTCTTCATAGCAGCTCCAGCAGAGGTAGGAATGATGACACTCATTTCACAGATGAGGGTTTGGCGGCTCGGAGATATCCAGGGTCTACTGCAGAGTCATGGCAGAAGCAAAGCAGCACCCGGGGCCTCGACCCACAGCGTCATCCTCTGTTCCTCCTGCCAGCCAAGGTCCAAGGCCTGGGCTGCCCCCGTTCTGCTGAGCTCAGAACCGCTTGGGCTTTGCATTTGCACCTCCACCTCAATTTCCTGTCTCTCCTGGGTTCTTTCAGGGCCCATCCCCTGAGAGAATCAGGGGTTTATCTCAGGGGTTCTCTCCCCTGCTTATCTAGGTGGGGAAGCCATTCTGCCCGGCATACTTGCTTAGTTCTAGACAAATCCCCACCCCGGACTAGCCCAAAAGCAAATTCCTGGCTGACCAAGTGAATACCTGCGACTTACAGAGGCTTCTTCTAACTGGGATTGGCAGCCAGAGGATTTGGGGGCTGGGGTAAGGGTGGGGGCAGCTACAAAACAATAAAACCTTAGCCATGCAGAAAGGGCCAGAAAGCCCTAATCTTGAGAACTTTCCTCCTGAGGGACAAAGAGGAGGTGACGCCTGGCTGCACGCAGGGCCTGAGCCCCAGCCCTCCACTGGGCACCACCCGTGCTGGGTCCAGCCCTGCAGGACCACTGCCAAAGGAGGGGGAGCTGCACTTGGAATGTGATTCCCCAGCTTTGCATGACACTCTTGTTAGCAGAGTGCAACTCCCAACATCCCCTGTCACCTCCTAAAGCCTCTGCCAGCCCGCCCCACAGCGCCACAAGGATCACCAGATTAAGGAGCTCAGAGCTACAGCTGAGGCGGCTAAACCCCAGGAGGTAGGAATGGGGAGGGGCAGGGAGGGCGGTGGGCAGCTCCCCCAAGGCCCTGCTGCCCTGCCTCTTCTCTCAACCCGTACTGTGGGCACTTCTCTCACTCTGTCCCAGCCATGAAGCACTCACTTCCATCCTTTTTTCTTCCTCGAGCTTTGGACCTTAACCACCAGTTATCCAGCTTGGGAGAGGAGCAGCTCAGGGAAGACAGTGAAAGCGGTAGAAAAAGAGGCCCCCCAGAAACAGAAATAGAAAGAGAGAGAGAAGTGGGGAGGGGAAAGGCAGCCCAGATGGAAGGAACAAGCGCACTGCGGGTGGTGGGAACTGGCTGGCGCAGTGGCAGCGGGAGGAAGGTCCCTGCTGGAAGGAGGCCCAGGGCCTCCCCTGCCTTGCCTGAGTGGCTGGCTACCTGAGGTGAATTCCAGAGGCTCCTGTGGGTGCCTCTGGCCAGCTGCCTGGCCCCAGGACAAGGTACATCCCACAACACCTGATGAGAGAGCGGGAGGGTGCCAGAGATGGGGAGGCTGGCAAAGAAAAAGCCAGAATTCCTGTCCACTGAATCCTGAGACCCCTGCCCTGAACAGCAGGGCGATGCTTCATCCCACTCCCCACCCGCCACCCAGGGTTATTCTGAAGGGCTGTGGAGAGGTGGCAACTCTGGAGTTCCCAAATGAACCCTGACCCTTCTCAGCCCTGTCCCCTGCCCCCCCAACGCTGACCCTTCTCAGCCCTGTCCCTTTCCCCTCAATCCCAGGGCCTGCAGGGGGCGACCAGGACACACCCAGGGCCCTGGCCAGCACCTGCACTCCCTCTAGCTTCTCCTTGGCCTCTGCCAAGCTCCCTTCTGCTGGGCCAGGGCCTGCTTCCCAGCACTGCAGGGTAGGGATGGGGAAGGGCTCAACTGTGAAGACCTGGGAAGGCAGGCTCTGCCTGCTCCTGGTCCTCCCCGCACTCTGAAAACAGGAGCCCACACTGAATATCAACAGGGATGAAATCCTTCCTGCAACACTCCCCTCCACCCCCAGCCAGAATCCATTAGTCCCATTCCTGTCATTGTACTAAATCAGCGAATGCTAAACCAATACAGTTTTGAAATGATCACCACTGTTACCACCATCAGAGGCTTTCTGAGCTAGAAGAGAACCAAGAGATTCCTGAAGTTCAGCTCCCTTCTCCTCCTGCCAACAGAAAACTGAGATTCAGGCATCAGGGGCACTTGGTCTGCCTGAGGTCACATGGAAGCTGGTGACAAGGACATGCCTTACGTCCTGTCTACCAGCCCCCTTTCCTTTCAGGGCCATGCCTCTATAAGGGCCTAAAAGGGAGCTTCTCCATCATATCCCAAATAAGATCCTGGTCCAACCACAGGTGGCAGGGGTCTGGGGACAGGGAAGGCCGTAATGCGATCAGCAGACTGGCCATCTGGCTCGGGGACGGAGAAGAGTCCAGACTGGCTGCTTCTGCTGCCCGGTCCCGAGGGGCCCTGTGTCGCAAGAGACAGACGGCCAGATGGACAGGCACTGGCCTGGGTCTGGGAGGAAGCCAGTGAGTCCCCAGTAGTCAGAGCTGACCAACTTTCAGACATGGAGAGGTGGCGGGGAGAAGGCATAGGGAGCAAAGCCAGGCCCCCCAGAGGGCAGAGAAACAGAACTCCAGGATGGGAAAGCTGTGATCCCATAGCCAAGCTCAGAGCCTGGCTCCCCAGGTAGGCCCAGCCCCTCTCATCTCCAGGCCCCCAGCCTACTGGCCAGCCACAAACAGGGCCCCCTCCCAGGGGGAAAGGCAAACACATCTCCCCTGGCACCTTCTCAGACATGCATGC